ACCCCTGCACCCCAGCCTCGGCCCTGTCCTCGCGAGACAGTGACGCTGCCGCCAGGATTCTGAACAGGGCCACATCCCAGGGTTGTGGTGACAGCGATGACGGTGCTGCCAGATCCCAAACCTGCTGGGGCCACAGGACAGGGATGGCCCACAACCCCCGCCCCTTCCCCAACATGGCGGCCGTCGCCACCACCAGGCTCCTGTCCAAGACCACCAGGCCGAGAAACCAACAAGCAAAAGCCGCCCAAATCTCAGTCACACCTCCCTCCGAGAGGCACCCCTGCTGGACCTCTCAGACCAGGCTAGTCCCAGACGACTGTCCACTGGCATCTGTCCAGCAGCTCGGGAAGCTCCCTCCCTTGGGACTGCTAGGGGCCACTGCTGGAAGGCACACAGACTCCACTCTGCCAGAACACTGTGAGCTCCCCTTGCTGGGCAGGGACAACACAAAGAAGGGGCTACCATCACGAACTGGCACTACATTGCCCTGTGGTCATCTGGCCACACTATGGCACCCCACAACATTGTGTGCCCAACACCACCCACACCACGCGAACGCAACACCACACACCACCTCGTACGCCACAGCCTCCACATCCCACACTACCTCATACCATAAACAAGCCCACACCTAATGACCCAGTATCCCACAGCACCCCATATCCCACACCACCAGTTCCCCATGCATTGCCCCAAGCGAATTAGGGTTCTGACCTCTGTGTACCAGAATGGTGGGAGGGCTTCCGCTTCAGGGGCTGCTGATTGAATTTGATTGTAGAAACGTTCCTTCCAGGAGAAGGGATGGACTCATGTGCCCACGTCCCTGAAACTCACCTGGCTGGACCGTCCACTCGAGAGCCCAGCAGCCCTGTCAGCCTGGCCTGAACCTGACCTCCCCAGGGGGCCCACTGAGGACCCTCGCCTCACACTCGGACGTGAGGAGCTTCCAGGAATGGACACCATCCCCTAGGCCAGTCCTCGGCTGGATCCAGACACACACCCCAAGCCTGTGTGAGACCACCAGCAAGAGATGGGGCCACCCTCTGTGGCAACTTCATCTGCCCAGCTCTGCCTGGACCCTAAAAGGACTTGACGTGCCCCCCAAGCCCTGGAGACACTGCCATAGAGGCTTGCTTCTGCCCACCCCTCCAATGAGGGGGTCGCATACACCATTCATGGGGGAACAGAGATGAGGGGGAAGCCTGATCACCCCACCTGCTCACGATCGTGGAGGAGACAGATGCACTGGGCACCTGCACAGATGGGCCCCTCGGGACTCCTGGGCCAGGAGGCACCTGCAGGGTGGGGCCCTTCCTGTCACATGCAGGGCTTTTTGTCAAGGTCCTTCCTACTGTGTTACTATAGTAGCTACTCTGGTTACTACCACAGTGACAGACACAGCAGCAAAAACCTGCTGGGGTCCGTGGGGCCTCAAGGCCAGGAGTGGCTGCTCCCCAGGCTCAGAACCCAGAGCCTCAGCCTCCAGGGCCACTCCCAATCACTCAGCCCATGGGCTCATGTCCAGGCACAGCCTTCACCCCCATGGGGGCTTCAAAGAAATCTGTGGTGACCACACTGACCCACAGCCACACGCACAGAGCCTGGCAAACTGGAAGAAAGCACCGTAGCTCTCAACACCACTGGACAAAGGAATCAGGAATGACAGAGCCTGTGCCAGGCACCCTCAGAGGTCAAGCTCCCAACTGGACCCCAGAGGCCCTAAGTGAGGCTGACAGGAGTGGACACTGGAGATGGGTCTGTGCTCAGCTGTTTAGCAGCATGCCCGATGGGGGGGGCTGGGTTCACAGTGGGTGGGAGCACCTCAAGTCTGCTACCAACCCTGGGGCAGTTGTGTCCCGGTCCTGTCTGGCCTGAGAGGGATCCAGGGGCGTCTCCCTGAGGATGAGGGTTATGCAGCCTCTCAGTTGAGGGGTGGGTCGCTGAGGTCATGGCCAGGAGGGACACCGTGCTAGGTATGGACAACAGAGAGTGGCCTCCAGGGAAAGCCCCTCGGAGCAGCTGGCCCACCCACGATCCTGCTCAACCCCACACTGAGGACCCGGTCAGTAACCAGGCCCCGGCCCTGGAGAACGCGGTGGTGACTGCACCAGCCTCAGAGACCCCGGGGCCGGGACATGTCCGTCACACTACAAATACACGGCACACCCAAAAGTGAGCTGTCATCCATCCTGATGACAGCGTTTCCCCTAAGTGCTTGAGGGTCTGCCCTGCCTGCCCTCAGCCCTGGGAGCCCCTCAGCAAACCCCTCTGAGGTCCCTCCACAGCCTGATCCTCCTGCAATGCCCACTCCCAGAGCCCTGGAACCCTGAAGCCTGGAACCCGAGGCCTCTCGTGACAGCCGTGCTGTGCCCGTGAGTGGGCACTGAGATCCCAGAACCCAGGCCAGGGGACTCCGTCCAGACCACTGCACCAAGAGATGACTGCTCCCTAGCATGGCTCCTAGCACTCCAAGACTCCATCCCCAGGATGACCCCAGCCCCTGTGAATCCCGGCCTGAGAAAGCCCAGCACTTCCAGGAATCTGCCGTTGTTCCAGCCGACATCTGACACAGCCTAGCCCCAACCTTGGAGCATTTCCTAAGATCCCACCTCTTCCCTTTGAGGTACATGTGTCCCCACAACCCAGGAGCGTCTCCATCCAGGACGGAGACCTGCTCCTCGGAGACGGAATCACCCAGGAGGAGGAGCCTCGGCGCATAGTCTCTGTGAGGACAGGAGGCGACTCTTCATTCCAGTGAGAAGACACAGCAGCATTGTGGGGTCTACATGGACCACCCTTCCTGATCCCTCTCAGGAGCCCCGCTCCCCCCTCCCTGCCCCTCACACTTCCTCTTACACGCCTGTGTCCTCTGTGCAAACCCGGATGCAGCTCACCCTGCCCCTGCCGTCAGTACTGACTGAAAGAACCTGTTTCCACCATTTAACTCACTTGGAAGGCCCGTGAGGGTCACTGAGTGAATGCCTGACCTGAACGGCAAGGGCCCAGGGAACTCGGAGCCCACGCCGTTAGGATCCCAGGTGTCAGAGGCCATCTCCAAGCCCGACACAGGCTGCCCCCTCTCAGGTCAAGACCTAATCCCACAGCCGGCTTGAGAGCTGCAGGCTGAGTCCAGGACTCACCTGGGCATCCACCTCCCTGGGCCTCTTGGAGACACCCAGGCTTCCTGATTGCACCCCAAATGCACCAGCTCGTCTGCAGCCCTGGAATCCTGTCCGAAGGGGCAGACAGTGAGGCATCCGACCAGTAGACCTCACTGCAGCCACTCTGGGAACCCACCTGATCTTCAGGTGGCCAGCTCTGCGGACAACGGGCAGCCCAGACTCTGACTCCTAGGCGGAAGGCTGAGGCCCTGTGACCACAGGAGGTGCCTTGGGGGTCGGGAGGCTGCAAGAGTCTCTGGGGAGGAAGTCCATGTTCACCCAAAGCCGGGGAATGAAAGTGTCCTGGAAGGTTGATCTCAGGGACACCCGGATCAGGGAGACACCTGTGCAGTGCGCGTACGGGCCTCCCCGAGGCAGGCGCAGAGGGAAGAGGTGGGGAGTCTCCTCGTGCCCACAGCTGGGAGCAGGCCTCTCAGGATGCATTCGTCCGTGCCCAGGTGCCTGACGATGGAAAACCTCACGGGTTGGAACACCAGCCCCATCATTAAATTCCAGCAGTGATGAGACCAGGGTGGGGGAGGCAGACCCTTGCTGGCCACGCGAAGGACAGTTTCTGAGAGGGGCGCAGAGTGTAGAACAGAAACTGCTAGAAGCCCCCAAGTTGTGGAAACCTGCTGCCAACCGGACTCGGTGGACACCAGGGCCATCTACGGTGGAGAATCGTGTCTTCCTGGTCCACCTCCAAGACCCTCCTACACCAGGACCGTGCCCCCGGGGCTCACCAGCCAGTGAACGCAGGAGGCCCTGTACAGAGCCACCTCAGGACCCACAAAGACTTGGAGGGGGTCATTGCCCACTCATCCCGAGTTTCAGAGCAAAAACCACTGTAAACGCACGCTGTCCCCACAGACCTCTCCCAAGCCTGCAACGGTGGACACAGAACAGGGCCAGGCAGGAGGATTGTGTGGGGGCCTGTGTCACCGTGACAGTATTGTAGTGGTGACTGCTATGCCCACAGTGACACAGACTCCGTCTAAAAGCTCCACCAGACACCGGCTCCTGGGGCAACTGTGTCCGTCCCAGAGCATAACACCCCCGGGTCCTGACCAGAAATCTCTCCCGGGAGGTCAGAGGGGAGCTCACTGATAATAACAGAAAAGGAGACTCCAGAGAAGCAAAGGGGGACCTCCCGCCACCCCATAGAGGAGGTGGGACAGCAGGCAGGTGGTAAGAGAGTTCGAGCAGTGAACCCAGGAGGGACACCTAAGACCGTGAGGGGGCCTGAGATCTCTGGGGCGGGGCCCGGGGCACGTGAGTAGAGCGGCCTCCCCTGTGCTTTGGCTCCTCTAATTGTCACCAAGTGCAGACACACGTTAGTAAAGAGATTTTTTAAAATCTGGTGGAAATGTATCCTTAAAACATATCCTCTCACGGTGCTGGGAAGGGCACCAGGTCCTGGACCTGTGGATTCCACCCACTGTGGGGCTGGACCAGGCTTCACACAGCCACTGCCACCCGCAACCAAGTGGGGCTGGGCCAGGTCGCCTCTGCCACCGCCATTGGCCACTACAACCAAGGGGACAAGGGTCAGCATCCCAGGAGCACCGCTGCCAGCTGAAACTGATGCCGGCCCTGACATCACTTCCTCTACATTAAAACCAGCATATATGAGGATAAAACCCAGAGCAGCCCTCTCTTCTCCCTGCTCCTCTAAGGTGCATTCACATGTAAACATTGGTCTCTCTAACCTTGGTATCCTTGAAGATTATTACAGGGAAAGTAATATCCAGAATATCAAGAAGCTGAATGCTCCCAGCATCCACCTCCCCAGCTACAGGCACCAGCATCCACGGCCCATCAAAGACGCACAGCACAAAGGACGTCCACCTGTAGTTCCCGCATCTCGCCGTCCCCCTCCCTGCAAGCAGCCTCCCAAGGCCAAACACAGGCTGAAGGGAAGGTGCCAACCAGCAAGGCCACAGGCTCCCCCTCCCCACAAGCAGCCACCTTCCTGAAAACTGTAAAAACGCACACCCCACATTTTTGGTGGAGACAAATTCAAGGGCTTACTCTCCTCTCCCGACTGACGTTACCCGAAATAAAACGATTCCTTGCCACAAGCCTGGCGTTCCAGTTTTTATTTTGGTCTCTCTTGTGTGGTGGGTAAAAACCTATGTTTGTGGCCAGTAAAAAGACTGAAAAGCAAATGTGCAGCCTCGCCATGGGATGGACACCGAGGTACGGAGGAGGCAGAATTCTGGAGAAGATCTCTCCCCCGGCCAGAAGACCCTTGGGGACAGGGGCCAGCAGGGCAGGGGGCCCAGCAAAGGGCCAGGATCTCCGTGGAAACTTGAGAAAAACAGACGCCTACACTGACCTGGCCATCCCTGACAGATGCCGGCTCTCTCTAGAAGTTCCAGGTGGTTCTGAGTGGGGACTAGCAATGGACCAGCATCTCTGCTCCAGAAGGAACAGGCCCCTGAGCAAACCAGAGCTGGCGGGCCTGACGATGGTCAGTAATACACATTCACTGTGGAGTTGAGGCCCAGAGGCCAGTCAGGGGCCTAAAGAGGGTAGGCTCGGCCGTGCTCTGGGCCTGTAGCTACGAGGACTCAGGAGGGCCGAGAGTGCTCAGGAGGCAGGGCCTTGTGCTGCCTCAGCTAAGGTCCCCCTAACAGGGCTCTGGATCCTATAGCAGGGAGCCCCAGGCAGGTGGAGTAGAGTGGATGTGGGATCGGGCAGGAGAGACACCTGGGCCTCCCCATACCTGGGCCTGCCCACACCTGCACCTCGTCCCCTGCACCTGCACCTCCTCCCCTGCACCTGCTTCAGGCCTTGCTGGAGCTGGATAGGCCTGAACCTGCATCCAGGGAAGAGTGGCCTCCTGGAGAATCTCTGAGATCTCCCGTCACCACGGCTGTGAATTCTCCAAATGCTTTAGACAAGACAGAGGTACAGACAGACACTAAAGGGGATCGCCAGGGAGGCCATGCTTGACCTGAGGCAGAATCAGAGGCCTGTGTCTAGGTAGAGCCAAGGCTGCTGCCATTCCCTCAGTGGCCCTCACAGGACATGGAGTACAATTTGGAGCTGGAGCCCCAGGTCAGCAGCAGCAAGAATAATGACTCCTGCCTGCTGCCACCTCTGGCCTCCTGGGCTCTGCCCCGTCCACAGGTCAGTCTCTCCATCCCCGATTGCCACCTACCCCGCACCTCAGAGGGGGTAGGCAGTGGGACTTTGTCACTGTGGGATAACTGTTATGGTTCTGGTTACTATGGCCACAGTGTTACAGCGCCCATCAAAAACCCCATCCCTACAGCCGGAGCTTCCGCCCTGCGTTCTGAGGCAGTGACACCGTCTCCAGGATTGCAACGGGGCCACATCTCCAGGGTGTGGTGACTCCCACAGCAGTGCAGCCGGAACTAAATCCGCTTGGGCGACAGGAGAGGGACGGCCCACAAATCCCCCACTTCCCTGACCCGGCGGCAGTGGCCATGGCCTGGCTCCTGTCCAAGTCCATCAGACCGTGAAACCAATGAGCAAAAGCGACCCAAGTCTCAGCCTGACCTCACTCCGAGGGGCACCCCTGCTGGATCTCTCAGACCAGGAGGGTCCCAGGCCACCGTCCACTGGCATCCGGCCCATTGCTCGGGAAGCTCCCCGCCTCAGGACTGGTGGGGGTCACGGCGGGAAGGCACAGAGACCTCACTGTGCCATGACTCTGTGAGCCCCGCTGGCTGGGCAGGGACAACACAAAGAAGGGGCTGGCCTCACAAGCTGGCACTACACTGCCCTGTGGACATTGGGCCACCTGGACACACCACTGTAACCCACGGCATTGTGCACCCCACACCACCTACACCATGGGAACCCAACACCACACACTACCCCTTACCCCACATCCCCCACGTCCCACACTAATTCGTACCACAAGTAACTCCACACCTAAGGACCCAGTACTCCATAGCACCCCACATTCCACACCACCAGTTCCCCATGTGCTGCCTCAAGTGAATTGGGGTTCTGCCCTCTGTGTATCAGAAACGTGGGAGGGCTTCCGCTTCATGGGTTGCTGATTGAATTTGATTTTGGAAACATTCTTTCCAGGAGAAGGGGTGGACCCATGTGCCCACGTCCCTGGGACTCACCTGGCTGGACCGTCCACCCCAGAGCCCAGCAGCCCTGTGGGCGTGGGATGAACCCGACGTCCCCAGTGGGCCCACTGAGGACCCTCACCGCACAGTCTGTCATGAGGAGCTTCCAGGGATGGACAACCTCCTCCAGGCCAGTCCTCAGCCGGATCCGGACTAGGACCCCAAGCCTGTGTGACAACACCAGCAGGAGATGGGGCTGGCTTCTGGGGCATCTGCCTCTGCCCAGCTCTGCCTGGACCCTAAAAGGACTTGGGGTGCCCATCAATCCCTGAGGTTCCTCCCATGGGGGCTTGTTTCTGCCCACCCCTTCAGTGAGGGGGTGACCCACTCCCTTCTTGGGGAGACCGGGGCTGAGGGTGGCAGCCTGACTACTTCACCTGCTCACGATCCTGGAGGAGAGAGATGCACTGGGCACCTGTGCAGATGGGCCCCTCTGGACACGTGGGCCAGGAGGCTCCTGCAGGGTGGGACCCCTCCTGCCACACACAGGGCTTTTTGTCAAAGACCTTCCTACTGTGTTACTATCATAGCTACTCTGATTACTACCACAGTGACACACCCCTCAGCAAAAACCTGCTGGGGTCTGTGGGGCCTCAAATCCAGGATGCAGTGCTCCCCAGGCTCAGAACCCAGACCCTGAGCCTCCAGGGCCGCCCCCAACCACTCAGCCCATTGGCTTATGTCCAGGCACAGCCTTCACCCTCACGGGGGCTTCAAAGAACTCTGCGGTGACCACACTGACCCACAGCCACACACACAGAGCCCCGCAAGCTTGCAGAAAGCACCGTGGCTCTCAACACCACTGGACAAAGGAGTCAGGAAGGACAGAGCCTATGCCAGGCAAACTCTCAGAGGTCAAGCTCCCAACAGGATCCCAGAGGCCCTTGGGGACGCTGACAGGAGCGGACGCTGGAGATGGGCCTGTGCTCAGCTGCAGAGAAGCTCTCAAGATGGGTGGCAGAAGGCAGGGTACACGGGTGGCGGGCCCACCTCAAGTCTGCTACCCATCCTGAGGAAGGTGGGTCCCGTTCCTGGCCTGGCCTGAGAGGGCTCCAGGGGCCTCTCCCTGAGTAGCAGGTTTGTGCAGGTTTTCTTTTGCTGGGTGTCTCGCTGAGGTCATTGCCAGGAGGTGCACATTGCTAGGTATCCACAACAGAGAGTGGCCTCCAGGGAAAATCCCTCAGAGGAGCCAGCCCACCAATACCTCCCGCCCCATCCCACACTGCGAACCCAGACTCTAAGCAGGCGCTGGCCCCAGAGAATGCAGTGGTAGCTGCACCAGCCTCAGAGACTCCAGGGCTGACGTCTGTCCATCACACTACAACTACATGGCACACCCACACTTGAGCTGTCATCCCTCCTGGTGACAACTTTTTTCCAAAGGGCTTGAGGCTCAGCCTTGCCTGCCCTTGGCCCTGGGAGCCCCGCAGCAAACCCCTCCAAGGTCACGACCACAGCAGGATCCTCCTGCAATGCCCCCTCCCAGAGTTCCAGAACCCTGAAGGCTAGAACCCCAAGCCTCCCATGACAGCCGTGCTGTGCCTGTGGGTGCATACCGAGATCACAGAGCCCAGGCCAGGGGAGTCCATCGAGACCCCTGCACCAAGAGATGACCGCACCCCAAGCCTGCACCCCCAGGAAGACCCCAGACCCCTGAAAGGCTGGCCTGAGAAAGCCCAGCGCTGCCAGGAGAATCTGCTATGGGCTACCACTAACACCCGACACAGCCCGACCGCATCCTCTGAGCGTTTCCTGAGATCCGGCCTCTTCCCTTTGAGGTGCCTGTGTTCCCACATCCCAGGAGCGTCTCCATCCAGGACTAAGACCTGCTCCTCGGAGATGGAATCACCAGGAAGGTTGAGCCTTGGCCTCCAGTCTCTGTGAGGACCAGAGCCTACCCCACATTCCAGCCAGAGGACACAGAGGCCTCGGAGGGTCTACACGGACTGCACGTCCTGATCCGCCATGGGAACCATACTGTCCCCTCCCTGCCCCTCACTCTCCATCTGACACGCCCCTGTGCTCTGTACAAACCCGGATGCAGCTCACCATGTCCCTGCTGTAGGTAGTGACTGAAAGAAACTGTGTCCACCATTTAATGCACGAGGAAGGCCCCTGATGGTCAGTGAGTGAACGCCTGACCTGGACCGCAGGCTCTTGCCCCTCAGGAGGTCAGCATCGCGGACAGTGGGCAGCCAAGGTTCCAGCTCCCAGGCAGAAGGCTGAGGCCATCTGAACACACCTGATGCCCTCGGCAGGAGGTGCTCTGGCGGTGTGGGGGACAATGAGAGCCCCTGGGGAGGAAGTCCCCTCTCACCCCGAACTAGGGAACGAAAGTGTCCAGGAAGGTTGAGCTCAGAGACACCCAGACCAAGGAAACTCCTGTGCCATATGGGTGGGGGTCCCGCTGGGGCAGGTGCAGAGGGAAGAGGTGGGGTGTCTCCTCGTGCACACTGCTGGGATCCGGCCTCTAATGATGCAGTCAGCCTTTCCCAGGCCCAGTCCGCTGGAAACATTACAAGTTACAACATCAGACCCACCAGCAAATTCCAGCAGAGATGAGATCAGAGCGGGTAGGCGGGCCCTCACTGGCCACACCAAGGACAGTTTCTGAGAGGGGCCCAGGGAGCAGAAGAGAAACAGCTAGAACCCCCTAACCAGGCAAAGTGGACAGCACACGGGCCACAGGAGACCCAGAGCTGCCTGTGCTGGAGAGCCAGGTCTTCCTCATAAACCACCAAGCCCGGTCTACACCAGGGCTGTGCCCCCAAGATTCACCAGCCAGGAAACACAGGAGGCCCTGTGCAGAGCCGCCCCTGGACCCATGGAGGCACGGGGGTGTTCGTCCCCCTATCACCCCGAGTTTCGGAGCAGAAGCCCTGGAAACAGGCTGTCCCAGCAGAACCCACCCCGAGTCTGCAAGGATGGAGATGGCACAGAGCTGGGCAAGAGGATTTTGTGGGGGCCTGTGTCACCGTGACAGTGCTGCCCTTTGGGTTCCTGCTACACCCACAGTGACACAGTCCCCGTCCAAAAGCCCCGCCAGACACACCCGCCCAGAGCCACCGTGTCCGTCCCCGAGTAAAACATACCTGGCCCCTGACCAGGAAATCTCTCCCCCTGGGTCAGAGGGCAGCTCACTGATTATAAAAGAAAGGGAGACTCCATAGAAGCAAAGGGGGACTGTCCGCCGGCCCCCCAGAGGAGGTGGGACAGCAGGCAGGGGTTAAAGGGACTTTGCACAGGGAATCCAGGAGGGACACCTATGAGCACAAAGGAGCCTGAGATGTCTGGGAAGTGTTTGGGGGTGCGGGGAGTGTGAGGAGAGTGGAGGGAAGGAGAGCGGCCTCCCCTGTGCTTTGTCTCCTCTAACTGTCACCAAGTGCAGACATTACATTTATAATAACATTTTTTTTATATCTACTCTAAATGTATCTTTAAAACTTTCCCCCTGGTGATACTGGAAAGGGCACCAGGTCCTGGACCTGTGGCTATGGCCCCATGTGGGGCTGGTCCCCAGGCTCCACACAACCACCACTTGGGGGACATGGGCCAGGTTCCCAGGAGCAGCACCCGCTGAGACTGTAGACCAAAGACACAGCCTGGCCCTGGGCAGGGACACGAGGTGCGGAGGAAGCAGAATTCCAGGGAAGACACGCTCCCCAGGCCTGAAGACCGTATGGGACATAGGCCAGCAGGGCGTTGTCTCAGCAAAGGGCCAGCCCTCCAGCTCCGGGATCTCCTGGAAGACTTAAGAATACAAACATCAAGCCCAACCCCAGGCATCCCTGACAGCTGCCAGCACTCTCTGGATGCTCCAGGTGGCTCTGATGGGGGACTAGATAGGGACAAGCGTCCCCGCTCCAGAGGGAAAATGCCCCTTAACAAATGAGAGCTGGCAGACCTGACGTTGGTCAGTCACCCACATGCACCAAGGAATCGAGGCCCAGAGGCAACAGAGGGCCCTAAAGAGCCTCAGACTAAGTCATGCTCCAGGCTCAGGAGGGACGTGTGCTCAGGGAGGCAGGGCCCTATGCAGGCCCAACAAACGATCCCCCTCACAGAGCTCAGGTGCTCCAGCAGGGACTCCCATGCACCTGTACCTCCTCCCTTGCACCTGCACCTCCTCCCCTGCACCTGCACCTCCTCCCCTGCACCTGCACCTCCTCTGCTGTACCTGCACCTCCTCCCCTGCACCTGTTTCAGGCTCTGCTAGAACCCGATAGGCCTGAAGCCGCATCCAGGGATGAGCAGGCCTCCTGGGCAATCACTGAGGTCTCCCTTCACCACAGCTGTGAATTCCAGGCAGCCTTTAGACAGAACAGGGCCACCGGGGAACGGGGAGGGGAGGTGGCCAGTGAGGCTGTACTCAGACCAAGGCAGAGCCAGAGACCCGTGCCCAGGTGGAACAAAGGCTGGTGCTGTTCCCTCAGTGGCCCTCAAGAGAAAATAGAGCACAATTTGGATGCAGAGCCCCAGGTCAGCAGAAGCAAGAATAATGGCTCCTGCCTGCTGCCGCCTCTGGCCTCCTCGGTGGGACTCACCTGCTGGCCCCAAGGTGACCTATCCACAATCTGGGGATAATTCATCAACACAGAGGCCATCACAGTGGGGTTAACTCCAAAATGGGCACAGACAACAGCCCAACGTGGCCGTGGATCCTCAGGACAGGGAAGAGCATGGTTGCCGTCCACCTGCCAGGAGGGTCTCCCGGGGGTCCCAGCAGGACACCCCCATGCTGAGCCTGCCCCACAGCCTCTCTGGGGCTCTGGCTCCATCCACAGGTCAGCCTCTACACCCCAGGTTCCCACACATCCTGCCCTTTGGAGGGCTTAGGGGCTGGGTCTGTGTCACTGTGGGATTACTATGATGGTTCTAGATACTATGACCACAGTGTCACAGCACCCATCAAAAACCTCGTCCCTGCAGCCCGAGCTTCGGTCCTGCCTTTCAGCAGTTACTCCATCCCCAGGATTCTGAACGGGGCCCTATCCCAGAGGTGTGGTGAATCCCATAGCAGTGCAGCCAGAATCGAAACTCGCTGGGGCCACAGGAGAGGGACGGCCCATAACCCCCCTGCTTCCCCCACACGGCAGCTGTCACCACCGCCTGGCTGCTGTCCAAGTCCGTCAGACCATGAAACCAACGAGCCAAAGTCACCCAAATCTCAGCCAGACCTCCCTCCAAGGGGCACCCCTACTGGACCTCTCAGACCAGGAGGGTCACATGGTCACCGTCCACTGGCATCTGGCCTGCAGCTCAGGAAGCACCCTCCCTCAGGATACATGGGGACCAGGGCTAGAAAGCACAGAGACCCCACTCTGTCAGGCCCCTGTGAGTCTCCCTAGCTGGGCAGGGACAGCACAAACGTGGGGCAGACACTACTCCCACCCTGTGGCCATTGGCTACCTGGACACACCACCCGTTTCCCCATGCCGCTGTGTTCCCCACATCACCCCACACCACCCAAACCCCGCACCACCCCATACCCCACGCCCCCTCGCCGTACAGCACCTCGCACAGCACACCCCACGGCACCCTGCACCGACACACGGTGCAGTCACACATTCCCACACTCCTCACCACCCCACATCCCACAACGCCCTGGACACTATACCACCCTGCACCCACCTGTAGAATCCCACACCCTACACCCCACAGCACTCCACACCCACGCCACCTAGTACCCCAACCACCCAATCCCCATGCGCTGCCTGAACTGGTTTGGGCAAACTGGCTCTGCCGCCAGCACCGGGTGATCTCATGCTGATTCCTCCACTGCCTGTGCCCCAGGCTCTCTGTGTGCACAGTGGAATAATAAAAATAACAATGACGATGATGATGGTGATGGCCCCCCGTGGATCAGCAGTGAGGACCATAAGAAATGATACACCTCAGAGTGTGGTTTCCAGCCCGCACCAAGCACTCAGTCCACGCCAGCTGTTCTTGTGCAATTATCACCACCACATTCCTCCACCCTGAACACCCCTGTCTGCTGCACATGAATGGTCTGCCCCCACCCACAGCTCCAGGTGGAGGATGTGGGCCCGCCCCCCTAAGGCGTGGAGCCTTGTGGAGACAAAGCTCAGCCAAGAAATTCACACCAGCACCCTCGTCCCTCTAGGCGCCAGGAGCAGAATGCAGCACGACATCTTCAAGCTAGAGTTGATGTCCCCTCTGCTCCCATTCTTGCAGCCCCTCACAAGGCAGTGTTCCCGGGGAAAGGCCCCACGGCGGTCCGATGGCATCACACCCGTCCCCCTCTCTTTGCACCTCTCCTGCAGTGACTCCGCTTCCTTCCTGGGGCTCTTTGTCCATCCGGGCACGGCTCCCGCGTGGCGCCCCTGATGCCGAATGATCTGGACACGCTGACTCATTTGTTCACAGCAGGGCTCGTGCTGCGAGGACAGAGCAGTTACAGGATGGGATTGTTAGCACAAAACACAGACGACACGCGTGATGTCACCCCAGCTTTCCTTTCTAGCACGAAAGCAAGCAAACTGACTCAAGAAGAAATAGAAATCACAACTGGAAGGATCCACAACAAAGCGTTAAGATTTTGGAGTAATTTACCTACTCAGACAACTCGGGCCCGAGGGGCCTCAAGGGTGAGTTTTCAGACTCTCACGACACTGATCCTTGCCATGTGAGCTGCTCCAGGACTCGAAGGAACATTAAACGAATTGCGCTGCAAAGCCTCCGAAAGAGACCCATGGGCTAATTTACATATCAGCAAAGAGCCAAAGTCATAAATGAAATCTAGGAGGCCAAATTCTGTGCAAGTCACGGAATGAAGCTTAAACGAGGAATGAGGGACTATTTATAGCTCATCCAGCAGCCAGCAAATGATGGCCTGTGGTTATCTCAATGGGAAGGACGAGACTCCCTCCATTAACCAAAGTCCCAATCCAGTCAGACCACCCTGAGCCCCCAGGGGTGTCACGGCCTCTGTCTCCACACCCGAGGTGACCCTGCAAATTCCAGAGAACAGCTCTCTGCCGGGCAGCCCCGCCCTGTCTGTGCAGAGAAGTCATCATCTCATGCTCAAAACAGCAGGCAGAACCCTCACCTATGCTCATGTCTGCATCTGCAGGGGCGTTCTTCACCACAGTGGTAGGGACCTCCCCACCCAGAGCTCGCAGCGGCGGTGGTGACGGATGCAGCATGTCTTCCATGTCCCAGTACCACCCTCAAGCCACAGGAGAAAGCTGGAGACACTATGCCCCAAAAGGACATCCTTACTAAAGGGTCAGCCTGCTGGGCTAGGCTACTGGACAGTTGTCCACCCTGCGGCCTCCAAGGTGCAGTGCAGCGACACAGGAGCCCACATGTACGCTGGGCCCACGTCCTCCTCACACCCAGGGCCTGGCTCCCACGTGGACAGCAAGCAGGACACCAGGCTCTCTCAGGCCCCGACGTGATGACCCCACTCCCGTGCCCCTCACAGCACAACTAATACACTCACAGAACTCCGTCCTTCCGGAGTACCCATGTGGAGTGGAGGACCATGGCTCACTGACACCCCCGTCTGTCAGTGGTTCCCATGGGACCACAGGCCTGTGGTCACCTGAGGCCTGATGCATGATGGCACCACTTGTCTCCATTCTTGCTGAATCCTTCGCTCACCAGCACATGACCCATGAGCGGCCACCTTGCCTTACAGCCTGAGAACCACCTGCTTGTCCCACAGAAAGGCAGAGGCAGGAATTTCCAAAAGAAGAGCATTGGAACACATCCAGCTCAAAGCTGGGACACCCAGCGCCCACGTTCACCGCAGCAGCTCCGCTCAGCACAATGGGCACAGACGCAAGCCCCACGTGGTCGCAGAGCCTCAGGACAGGGGAGGGCGTGGTTGCTGACACCTGCCTAGAGGGGTCTCCTGGTGCTCCCAGCAGGACACCTGCAGGCTGAGTCCACCCCACAGTCTCCCTGGGGCTCTGATTCTGTCCATAAGTCAGCCTCTCCATGCAAAGTCTCCACTCACCCGCCCCTTGGAGGGGTTTGGGGTCACTGTAATATTACGCTTCCACATATGATTATGACCACAGGGTCACAGCACCCATCAAACACCCTGTCCCTGCACCCCGAGCTACAGCCCTGCCCTCACCAGACAGTGACCTCGTCCCAGGAATTCTGAACGGGTACACATGCCGAGGTGTGGTGACCCACCGCAGTGCAGCCAGAACCAAACCCTTTGGGGACACAGGACAGGGATGACCCACAAACCCTACAATTCCCAAACACGGCAGCAGTCGCCACTGCCAGGCTCCTGTCCATGTCCTGTGGAGAGTGAAACCAATGAGCCAGAACCACCCAAATCTCAGCCCGACACCCCTCTGAGTGGCACCCCTGTTGGACCTCTCAGACAAGAAAGATCCCAGGCCACCGACCACTGGCATCTATCCAACAGCTTGGGAAGCTACCTCCCTCAGGACTGGCGGGGGCCACAGTTGGAAGGCATAGAGACCCGACTCTGCCAGGACTCTGTGAGCCCCCTGGCTGGGCAGGGGCAGCACGAAGGTGGGGCTGGCCTCACGAGCTGGCACTAAACCGGCCCTGTGGCCATTGGGCCACCTGGACACACCAACAGTTCCCACGTCACTGTGCGCCCCATACCACCCTCACCACACGAACCCAACACACTCACACCATCCCATGCGCGACCACACCCTACAACACACAGCACCCCATATCCCACATCCCACACCACCTCTTACCCCACAATAGCCACACCTCTCAAAACCTCACAGCCCACATCCTCTACACTCACAACACATCGTACCCCACGCAATCCCACACCTAAAGACTCAGCACCCCACAGCACCCCACCACCCATACCACCGGTGCCTCATGCAGTGCACCAAGCGAATTGGGGCTCCGCACTCTGGGTACCAGGAAGGTGGGAGGGGCTCCGTTTCAGGGGCTACTGCTTGAATTTGATTGTGGAAACATTCCTTCCAGGAAAAGGGGTGGACCCATGTGCCCATGTCTCTGCGACTCCCCTGTCTGGACCATCCACCACAGAGCCCAGCAGCCCTGTCAGCCTGATCTGAACCCGACCTCTCCAGGGGGCAGACTGAGGACCCTCACTGCACACTGGGACCTGAGGAGCTTCCAGGGATGGACACCCTCCCCCAGGCCAGTCCTTGTCAGAACCGGACACAGACCCCGAGCCTGTGTGAGACCACCAGCACGAGATGGGGCCGCCCTCTGGGGCATCTGCCTCTGCACAGCTCTCCCTGGACCCTAAAGGACTTGGGGTGCCCCCCAAGCCCTGGGGCCCTTCCCATTGAGGCTTGCTTCTGCCCACCCCTTCAGTGAGGGGGTGACCCACTCCCTTCTTGCAGAGACCCGGGCTGAGGGTGGCAGCCTGACCACTCCAACTGCTCACGATCATGGAGGAGACAGATGCACTGGGCACCTGGGCAGATGGGCCCCTTGTGACCCGTGGGCCAGGAGGCTCCCGCAGGATGGGGCCCTTCCTGTTACACGCAGGGCTTTTTGTCAAGGTCCTTCCTGCTGTGTGACTATAGTAGCTACTCTGGTTACTACCACAGTGACAGACACATCAGCAAAAACCTGCTGGGGTCCGTGGGGCCTCAAGGCCAGGAGTGGCCGCTCCCCAGGCTCAGAACCCGGAGCCTCAGCCTCCAGGGCGTCTCCCAACCACTCAGCCCATGGGCTAATGTCCAGACACAGCCTTGACCCCCATGGGGGCTTCAAAGCACTCATCGGAGACCACACTGACCCACAGCCACACGCACAGAGCCCGGCAAGCTGGCAGAAAGCACCATGGCTC